CTAAAAATATTAAGACAAGAAATCTTAGACCAGTGTCATGAAAAGGTGGGATACATGGGGATTGATAGAACCTATGAATTAATAGGCAGGAATTATTTTGGGGTCAGCTTGTATAATGATTTATTGGATTATGTGAACAGAGTCGAGATAATAGGGTCACCCCAATGAGGAAGATAGATATTCTAAATTACCCACTTCAGAAGGTGAGCATGGATATTTCAGTGCCCTAAGGACAAACTCTTCGTGGAAATTCATATATTGTCAGCTTCAATTTGACATACAATTGAAAAGAAAGTTATTGTAAGGTGTAATTATTATTTTTTCTATTCGGCTTAGGTTGAATTGAAAAAAGAAACTGTGAGTATTACAACCCTGATAGAAAAGATTTGTTTTTATTAAATTTTAGTGTGCATAATAATATCGGAACTTAATCAAAAAGGAGCTGAAAGAGACTGCAATGTTTGAATCGATTTAATTGGACTGTGCATTTCCTTTGAAATAATTCCTGCACGTGGAAGGTATAATAGACAAATTGCATGAGTAGAATCATCTTTTGAAGTATTAGTTTCTAATACAAATATTAGAAAAGCAGGTTAAGGAAGGGATGTGACAGGGGGGCAATATCACCGCCGAAATAAAATAATAATAATGATAATAAAGGAGAATATGCTGGACAACAGGAAAAATAGGTGTTTTCACAAGAACCAATATGTTAAAGATGCTATAAAGACTTTGAAATGTAAATGTTACAGATTTTATATAGAAAACGAAATACAATGTTTTTCTCTTTAAGCGTACAAAAGATTTCAGATCATTAATAGAAAGGAGAATTCAAAATGTCTTAATCTAAAGGTTAATTTTATCGATAACAAGACAGCATGAATCTTTGTAAAATTGATCAGAGCTATTAATAGATAAACTTAAAACTATGTAAATACGGTCAGGGTACTGGAAGATGAAACGAGTGTGAAGTTTTAATATAGAAGTGTGTCAAGAAAAGGGTCGATCCCGTTTCTAATAAAAGTATGTCATTACGTTTGCACTAGAAAAACAAATATGTCACCAGTTCTCTATATAAAGAGGCGAGCCAACCGAAAGGTGAGTAGAGTAGAGTTGAGCGGAGTTGAACAGAGTTGGGTTAGAGACAGTGGAGAGTCGAGTTGGAGACTCAAGGAGGAGAGGAAGTGACGTCAAAGATTGAAATGAAGCGTCCGCTAACATGTGCTGTTGATATAAGTACTGTTGCTCCTGCTACCACTAATATTACTTCTACCATTACTACTATTGAGGACGACAGCATTGGAGGTTGTAGTAGTTGCGCTAAGAACAGACCAAATGTTAAAACAAAGCCAACTCTCTCTTTTAACGGAATTACATGAAGAATTTTTTGTTTTGTTGATCATCGTTCATGTACAAGAGACATTCAACTTTTTGTCACGAGAATTGTATTATTATATGTATTGTTGATGTCATATATATAAAAAATATTTTTTCCCTATAAAATCGAATTGACTTGGCCATATTTATTTACTGTTAACCCGATTCTCACCCAACAAGCTTGAAAGTAAAACAACAGAGGACATTCGGAATTCTACGACCCGATAACTACTGAAATCGAATCTACATTTGAAACCGGATACTAAGGTCTAACCTGTAATACTGAACCATACAGGACCAACGGCCTGTCTTGTAGATGATGTCAGCCCGGTAGGGTTAGGGTACGGTGTCACATGCACGCCTTGAACAGAGATCGCATTAAAACTGTCACCGCGCGAAAGGATCGGCGTTAGAGATAATATTCAAATAATTGTAAGAAAAATATTCTGGATGCTAAAGTGTGTAAACGTTAGTTGAATATTATCCGTTACTTCTTTACACATGACACGTATCTAACCATTAAGAAATAGCCAAACACAATACATCATTAATCTGCATCTTATTGCTTTTCATCAACTTTATCATTTCTACGTTGATCCCTGGTGAAGCTTTAATAAAGTGAAATATGTAAGATTAAAATCTGTTTTCCTACTTATTCTTTATCGTATCATTTTATCCTCTCTCTCTCTCTCTCTCTCTCTCTCTCTCTCTGTCTTATTTACGATGGCACTACTTTCAACTGAAAGGGGATCTGTTAAGAAACTTTGACCTAAAATAAAGTGCTTACTCGCTTTTGTCCCTGTCACTAGGTGCAAATGACTGGGCATACAAAACTGCACAAGAACAAAACCAGTTGATAACTAATTCCATTAATGATAAACTTCTTTTCTTGGGTGACTTCAATGTACGTGTAGGTTGTAATACGTCAGTATGGAATAGTTTAATCTGTAAGCATGGTGTTGACAAGGTCAAGTGAAATGGTCATCTAATGCTATCCTTTTTAGTCGCCATGCACTTTTGATTTGCTACACTGTCTTCTAGCTTCTTAACCACCAGAAAAGTAGCCGTAGGTATCTCCGATCCAATCACTATCATCTCATCGACTATGTTACTGTGAGTTCTTCATCGAGGAAGGATGTAAAAATGAGTAGTTTCTTCTCCATTGTTGAGTGTTGGATGAATCATATATACTAGTATATACTAGTCATCCCATGAAAGGCTTTGATATGTCAAAAGGAAACACAAATGTTCTTCGTTTTTTGGATATTATACACAAATGTCATAATTACATAATTATTAAAATTAATATTAAATCAGTTGCACAAAGTTTTTATTGTGCTGAGAAGTTTTAGACCAAAAAGTATTGTTTTAATATATTATTTTTAATTTACAAGATTTTTCTTCATATATACTCATACTATACAGCTGTTTTGAAATAAGATAAAAATGATTCAAAACTCCCACAGCCATAGTAATGTTAGCACCTGTAAGAAGCATTGATAATATACCATTAAACACAATTCTAAGACTTTACAAGAAAATATTTTTTTATATATCATTCAATATTTGATACTTATACCAAAATCATTGAAGAACTTGTCTCTGAAAAGTGTCGATACACATTCTAAATAAAAACGTAATCTAAATTAAGACGATTTTAATTAAATTTCTTACTGAAGCAAATACGTTTTCTTTGACTATACTGTTCCTCTCTTGTTTACAATTTTCCATGTACCACTCCCCAGAGCATAATCTACTATCTTCATCAATTCGGTTGATTATCAAAGATAAAAAAAAAACGTTCGAATATTATCTTTTTGTATTTCAACACTTAATGGACTTTCTCCCTGAAGATAATAAAGTAAAAAACGACTTGAAATATATACACAATCATCTTCCTGAAAGGAGGCGGAACCTAAACAAAATATAAAAAAAGCGATTGACATTTTTTTATCTACGTAGTAGAAAAGGGAAGAGTGTGCGTCCGTTTATTTAGTCCTTTTCTTTCTTCTCTTGTTTCCAAGACATTTTCTTCGAGATAACTATTTTTTCGAATTACATATTTTAATAAGACCAATATTTATCAAAAATTCATATATAGATATATATTATTATTTAGATATTTTCCTCTGATATTACCATGAAAATGTATGAAATAATAAAACCAATTTATAATAATATATGTCATGAGATGTATCCTAAATTTAACGTATTTAATTGCTATCTATCTCTGTCTCTCTATCTCATATATATATATATATATATATATATATATATATATATATATATATATATATATATTATAGATATAGTTTATGCAAAACTAGGTAATCTGTATGGGTAGACCCAAGGAGGATGAAACCTCCATAATTAACATATAATACAACGGTAATTAACATGACCAATGTAACGAATAGTATCGATAACAAGTAGTACCAATACGTCATATATCCTTTTTGTATTTCTTTAGGGATCTTGGTATTGGTTATCCTTCTTAACCAATTCTGCTAGGTTCTTTAAGCTAATTTTTCTTATTAGTACAGGGAGTAGCCGTAAGCCGTACTACCACATACAATTCTTAAGAGAATGGACAGTACAAGAGATACAATAGCATAATATGAAATACTCTACAGTTAGTACTTGAAACCTTTCAATTAGATATTAGGAAGTTGTTTTTTTAAATTTCGAAAACAAAGTTTGGCCGGGATCTCCCTCACTTCGTGGCTTTTACAGTCAGGTATTGTTTCACTAAGGAACCATATTCGACAAAGCAAGTATGATTCTCCTTTGAGTAAGGTGGAATTGCTCGAGGCGAACTCACTCTATGCGTGCATCCAGCACCCCGACGAGAAACAATTGAACGTTTCCCTCAAAAATTTGACCCTTGCAGGCAAATTATCGAACCAGAGTGAGGAGCATTTCTCCCTTGAAGCAATATCTCTCCCTCTTGATAGTAACGACGACACAATATATCAAATGTTTAAAAACAAATAGTTTTATATATTATTGGTTTTTCTTGGATTTTAGTTCCTTGTCACAAAATAATTTTGTTACGACTTTCGCCGGCCGAAAAAAAAACAAATAATTTTTCACCTACCAGGAGACGGTCTGAGATTAAGACGTCACCGTATGCAGATGGGTTTTATCAGTATTGTTTCAAAGTGTATAGCATTTGTTTATTTATTTATTTTTTACGCTTTTGCTCTTGAATTAACCTGGCATCATAATCACGGTCCTAAAAATCTAATGTAACAGTCTTGTAAATCAGTGTAAGGAAAGTTCACTAATATTGGCTTCCAATCAAAAAAAGTCAATGACTACAGAAAGAAAATGTGATTTGGGACAGGAGTCTTACGTAAATGTTTTTGTTCAGGACAATGCACTAAATGAACTTCGCAAACCCATTCAAATATCGTGGAAGAGTTTGTTCTTGTTTATTTTTAATAATGCAAATAAATGACTGTTTTGTCTTTTTCCAATGTCGTATTTTAGTTTTCGTCTTCATATCAAATAGGACTTTTTTTTATTATTGTTGTTGTTTTTTCTGTTTTAGCCTCTTTGAGCTGTTTTTTTTTTTTTTTATTCAAAGTTCAATTTACAGAATCAATATCTTATTTATACAGCAGTGAGATATTGTCTACTTTCCGAGAGAAACAGGAAGACAAGCAGAATCAAGCGAAGATTCAGACACGTTGTCTTATTTTTTAATGGAAGAAATGTCTGGCACATATGCTTCTATCACTTTTTGTGCATCAGTGTATCGGTCACTCTCCCCTCTCTCACTTTACTTGAATTAATAATTACTCACTTAATGAATAATTCTCACTCTCTCTTTTCCTTTATTTCTCTTTCTCTCTCTCTCTCTCTCTCTCTCTCTCTCTTTCTGTGAATTATTTTTCTCTTCCTTGTGTCTTTGATGCGATTATCTTGTTTTTAATTTCATCATTTGAATTACTGTTTCTCTGAAATTCGTCTTTTAACTTATTTCCTTGTTACTCCATAATATTTATCTCCCCGTGTCGCTTTCTTTGCTCTCTCTTTCAGTTATATTTCTCAAAGCCAAATAAAACATTCTATCTCTGTCACTCTTTCAGTGTCTCTGACCAATTAAAAACAATCACAATCCTATCTTTATATAACTGTCATTTTTGTTAAAGAACTGAAGAAGGTCCGTGTGCATAACGCTTGAAACGATATGATAGTAGCAACAAAAATATGGATATTTGCTCGACAAGTAATGTAAATAACATAAACAGCTTTTTCTCTGACTTAATTTCTGTTTCTTCGGGTTTATTGTCTTTCTTATCCTATCAATTAAATTATTCTGAATCTCTTTTTCTTCATCTATGTGCTGTGTTCTTTCTTGCGAACATGGCTATCCACATCTTCCAATCTTTTGTGACTCTAAGTAAAGAATTTTATTATCTCTTTTACCAATCATTGACACAAGCTCGTTAAGTAGGTTATTCCCTCTTTTCTTCTGTCCCTCTTGCCTTCAATATATACTGAGATTGTCTAATTGTCCAAACCCTCCTTCTTCATTATGTGCGTTAATAATATTTCTGATTCTAAGTAAAAGTGTCATATTTGTTTCAATTTTTCTGAAACGCTTTCGTTACTTACATATCCACTCTATGCTATTCCTAGCATCCTGATAGAAAATCATATTTTATTGCCTCAGGTTTTTTATTCATCTGTGGTGAGATTGTTCAGCATTCACTGCCCTAGAAGAGCACCGATTTTACATGAAAGTTCGGTTCTTTTTTCTTTGTTTCTAACGAAATTTTTCTGTTAATGAAAATATCCTTAGCTTTTTGCTATCCCAATGCAAATACGGATTTGAGTGTTCCATTTTCCGTCACTTTCTAGATAAGTTTCTATGAATCAGCTTCAAAGGCTTCTTTTAATGCTTTCACGATGTCCCTAAATTTATTTTTTTCTTTCTTTGTATCTTTCTATTATTCGCATTAACTTTTTCTTCAATTCTATTTTTCTGATGGTGGCCAGAAAATACCTGGCCGAAACATGATGTGGATAACATCTGCAGCAACCAAGAAAAGAATGATAGAAATAATTAATCGCTTTCTTCGTTGTAATTTTTATCTATCTCTAAGCTGTTTTCTTTTTCATTTCTCTCTTTTATGACATGCGAGTGTATGTATATTCGTGTTTCTGAGAAATCATAACTGTTTTGACATTTGTGTATAATTGTTATTATTATTACGTCTCTTTCATTTTCAAAATTATGAATTTTTGTTTCACTATATAGACAAAAAACTAATGGACATGTTATTGTGATATAATATTTCAATATACCAATTTTTTATTCACTCATAATGAGAGATGCTTCACAAACAAGAAAATAACGAATTATGAAATATAACGAGCACTTCTAGTTTTTATTATGTTTTGATTTCCTTATAAGACTTTAAATCCCTCCAACTTCTTTTATTTCATTTTTTTCCAAAAAAATTAATCCGTGAGAATTTATAGGAGTCTCTTTAATATCTTTAACATGACTTGATAAATTCCTGTGTAAATTATAAAAAATGCACGTAAATTCCATTATGTCATCTGTCCATTGAGTAAAATTTTCAGTCAGTCTACTTCCATCTGCGCAGATGGTGGCACATCTGACTGCACTAAGTATATAACCCTCAATTAACTGCATTATAAAATTCATAACATCTAAACTTATTGTAAAATATTATTTTTTTCAACAAAATCGTCTGTAAATTAATTTCCCTTAAATGTAAAATACATACATGTATGTTTCATATAACAACAATCGTCATTTCGTCTGAGGATTGTTCTTACATGAAAATCTTAGGAGCGAATTTTTGTACTGATAAAAAAAATTCATATATATATATATATATATATATATATATATATATATATATATATATATATATATATATATATATATATATATATATATATATATACATATATATATTTATATATATATATATATATATATATATATATATATATATATATAAATATATATATATATATATATAACAAATGTATATATATATATATATATATATATATATATATATATATACATATATATCTGTATATATATATATATATATATATATATATATATATATA